AGCTACAAGGAGGTGACCTCAGCTTTGGTGAACTATGAGTTGAGGAAGAGTGATGGTGAACCCTCCGAGAAGGCATCGGGAGATGCGTTAGCAGTTCAAGGCCGAGATCCAAACCGTCGCCAGCTCAACCGCTCAAAGTCAAAGAATAGGAGTGCCTATAAGAGTGTTGGTAGAAATCAATGTCGGTATTGTAAAGAAGAAGGACATTGGAAGATTGACTGCCCAAAGTGGAAAGAAAAAGCTGGGAAGAATAAGGGGAAAGCTGCACAAGCTTCAGAAGTGAATGTTGCAAAAGCTATTGGTGAGCATTCAGATTCAGATTCTTCAGGCTATTCATGCCCTGCTTTACCGTCGGTTTGCTATGCGGATTCCACGGAGTGGATGATGGATTCGGGAGCTACATATCACATCTGCCCTAAGAGGGAGTGGTTTTCTAGCTTTGAGGAGCTGGAAAGAGGGGATGTCGTGCTTATGGGTAATGATCACGTATGCCCTATTGGTGGTATTGGTTCAGTCCGGATCAAGATGCATGATGGTGTAGTGAGGGAATTAAAGGAAGTGAGATTCGTGCCACAGTTGATGAAGAACATCATTTCTCTTGGGACTTTAGAGGCAGCAGGATATCGAGTGATCTTAGAGGATGCTACAGTGAAGGTCACGAAGGGTTCTATGGTGGTGATACGAGGTGTCAGGGAAAACAACCTATACTACTTGAAGGGCAAGACAGTTACAGGGGTTCTGGCAGCTTCTATCACTACAGAGGAGGACACTACCACCTTATGGCACATGAGACTTGTACACACAGGTGATAAGTCCCTACAGTCATTGGCTAAACATGGGCTATTGAAAGGTGCTAAGACCTGCAAGATGGAATTGTGTGAGCATTGTGTACTTGGGAAGAAGACTAGAGTGAAGTTTGGCACCGCTATTCATAACACCCGAGGTACATTAGATTATATTCACACAGATGTTTGGGGTCCTTCCAAGAACACATCTCTTGGTGGGGCCAACTATTTTGTCACTTTCATTGATGATTATTCCAGGAGGAATTGGGTATACCCGATGAAGCATAAACATCAGGTCCTGGATATTTTTGTGGAGTGGAAAAAGAAAGTGGAGCTGCAGACAGGTAGAAAGGTGAAGACTCTACGTTCAGATAACGGTGGAGAGTACAAGAGTGATCCGTTTCTGCAGTTTTGCCGGGATCACGGCATTAGAAGACACTTCACAGTTCGAGAGACACCGCAACAGAACGGGGTGGCTGAGAGATTGAACCGTACCTTGCTGGAGAAGGTGCGGTGTATGATGACGCAGAGTGGATTGCCTAGATCCTTTTGGGCCGAGATGTTAGTTTATGCGAGCCATCTCGTGACAGGTTGCCGTGCACTGCGATAGACGGGAAGACTCCTTTGGAGCGTTGGTTTGGTTCGGTGGCTAGTGACTATGAGTCGCTTCGGATATTCGGGTGTCCAGCTTATTATCATGTCAGTGATGGTAAATTAAATCAGAGAGCGAGGAAAGCAGTCATTGTGGGATTTAGAGATGGAGTCAAAGGCTTCAAGTTATGGGATCCACAGGACAAGAAGATAGTTATTAGCAGAGATGTCACATTTGACGAGGCGTACATGATGAAGCCTCGAGCCCCTCAGCATGTGGAGGGAGACCAGACAGGAGAGATATCACAGCAGGTGGAGGATGATGTGACTCCACCCACTCCAGAGAGCATTGTATCCATTGAGGCTCCTACAGAGGTGACACTGGGAGGAGATGAGATGACAGATGGGCAGATACAGGATACAGTAGATCATGGGACTCAGGAACAGGGTCATGTTCAGAGGACCATTGCAGCAGATAGACCGAGGAGAGAGATTCGTCGGCCAGCTAGGTATAATGATGTCATGGTCGCATATGCATTATCAGTGGAGGTCGTTGATGATAGGGTCCCAGCCACATTCAGGGAGGCAGAGTCTAGCCCCGATTCGATCAGGTGGAGGGAAGCTATGGAGGAGGAGATGCGGTCTCTTCAGAAGAACGACACTTGGACACTTGCACATCTACCTAAGGGTAAGAAAGCTATTGGTTGCAAGTGGGTATATGCGAAGAAGGAGGGATCTTCTATTGGGGACATTCGGTTCAAAGCCAGATTGGTTGCCAAGGGATATGCACAGCTTGAGGGCATTGATTACAACGAGGTATTTTCACTCGTTGTGAAGCATTCGTCGATTCGGATTTTATTGGCGCTGGTGGCACAGTTGGATTTGGATTTGGTCCAGATGGATGTGAAGACAGCCTTTCTACACGGAGATTTAGATGAGGAGATCTACATAACACAACCCCAGGGTTTCAAAGCTACAGGAAAAGAAGATTTGGTTTGTAAGCTGAAGAAGTCTCTTTATGGTTTGAAGTAGTCACCAAGACAGTGGTATAAGAGATTCGACGGCTTCATGATTGGCCGAGGGTACACGAGGAGCCCATATGACCCATGTGTTTATATGCACAAGCTACAGGATGGTGAGCTCATATATTTGCTTTTATATGTTGATGATATGCTTATTGCTTCCAGGAATTCTTCAGCTATTCGAAAGCTGAAAGAGGAGTTATCATCCGAGTTTGAGATGAAGGATCTTGGAGAGGCAAAGAAGATATTGGGTATGGAGATCGAGCGAGACAGGGTGAAGGGGAAATTGAAGCTTACACAGAAGAGCTACTTGCAGAAGATGTTGAAGAAATTCAGCTTTGATGGCAATGCAAAAGCAGTTAGCACACCATTGGCTCCCCACTTCAAGCTTTCAGCGTTGATGTCACCTGTTTCAGTTGAGGACAGAGATTATATGTCGAAGGTCCCATATGCTAGTGCAGTAGGTAGCTTGATGTATGCGATGGTGTGTACGAGGCCAGATTTGTCACAGGCCGTGAGCATGGTATCGAGATACATGCATGACCCCGGGAAGGGTCACTGGGAGGCCGTGAAGTGGATTCTACGGTATGTTCGAGGCACCGTGGATGTTGGTTTAGTGTTTCAGAAGGATGAGAAGGACGGGCAGGCTTGTATTGGTTATGTGGATTCAGATTATGCTGGAGATCTTGACAAACGCCGGTCTACGTCAGGTTATGCTTTTACATTGGCAGGTGCACCTGTATGTTGGCGTTGCACGCTTCAGTCCACAGTGGCTCTCTCTACTACAGAGGCAGAGTATATGGCGGTTACTAAAGCAATTAAGGAGGCTTTATGGTTGCGTGGATTATTGGAGGACTTGGGGATCACTCAGGAGACTATTCGGATATATTGTGATAGTATGTCGGCTATCTATTTGGCGAAGAACCAGGTTTATCATGCGCGCACGAAACACATCGGCGTCAGATTTCACTTTGTTCGGGACGTCTTGGATGATGGAGATGTCATATTGGAGAAGGTCCACACAAATGACAACCCTGCAGATATGTTGACCAAAGTTATTTCAGGAGTAAAATTTGGTCATTGTTTGAAGCTTTTGAACATCCTTCAGTGCTGAGGCCTTTGGAGGCCATTTGGGTGAACTACGTTCGGCTTGATTCCTTGGGCAAGAGGATACGTAGGCAGTCTTTAGATGCAGCCGGTTTGATCAGTTGATCAAGATGGGGGGAGATCGTGTTTCAGCTCGAGTATTGTTCCTGGACCTGTTGAGGAACTATTGGATGGTTTGGTGTCGGCTCAGTTTTGGTGGAAACATTCGCCGAGGTGGAGAATTGAAGGAATTTCAGCATCAGCAGCAGAATCAGGTCGACCGCGAGACCTGCGCGGTCGACCGCACCGGTCGACCGACGTCGTTTTGGGCTGGGCTTTCAGGTTTTTGACCCGTTTCGTTTTGTAAGCTATATATATCCTAAACCTGATTTGTTAGGGTATCAAAAGGACAATTTTGAGCAGCCTCTAAGAGAGATTTGTGGCATCCAATTGTGGGAGAGCTTTGAGAGATCAAGTGCTTTGTTTTAGGGTTTGGTCTGAGAGATTTGTAACCCTATTTGTATTCCCTTGATTTTTAGTAGTAAAATCTCCCCCCTCCTTGCCCCGTGGACGTAGGTAACTTGTCGAACCACGTAAATTCTTTGTTCTTGCTGTAATTGTGGTTTGCATATTGTTTGTGGTTTAGTTCGAGTTATTGTTCGTGTTGCCCTAGAAAGCTTCCGCCGCGCACAACATTTGATGCTTTTTCTTTTGAAGAATTTAATGTTTAATTAGTATCGAATGACATGTTCAATTGTTTGGAGGAGGTCATGCTCACCTAAATTTTAAACTTTTGCCAAACAGATAAACTAATACATTATTAGTTAATTTGAGGGGGCAAAAAAGTTATCCTCATTATGATATTAGTCCGAACGGTCATAATCCCTAAAAAAACACAAATTTGGACTATTTTAAAGTAGTCCGAGTCTTAGTCCTTGTAAAAACAAGCATTAGACTGGAGTAAATAGTCCCATCATAACTTAGTGCGAGAAATACAATCCAGATATAATCATACCCCCAAATCCCAAGATGAAAAACAAACGTGTCCTTAGTAAAATAAGCTTAGGTAAGTAGGTAAACATATTAAAATCGGTTTTTCTATAGAGTGCCCTTGGGCACTCTATAAGAGAGGAGAGAGATAGAGAGAAATGAATAAAAAGGGGGGCCCCTGATTTGCATTGGGATCCTCTCTTCATTCATTTCTCTCTATCCCTCTCCTCTCTTATAGACTGCCCAAGGGCACTCTATAGAAAAACCGTATTAAAATAGACCATGTGTATGATGATCTGATGACTAATTAAATAAGAGAAGTCGAGTTATAAAACAACGACGAGCTGGAAGTGCGAGAACTAGCCTGATGAACAATCAGCAACAAATGTGACGCAATACAAAGCCTGCTGGCTCTTCGGTCTCTGGGTCCCCACTCGCTTCCCGAACCACCCCATTAAATCAATCTCTTGAAGTTACTATATATTGAGCCCCTTCTTCCTCTTTTCTCTCTGTACGCAGTGGCAGGCTCAAAAAATGGCTGATCAAGCTCCCCTGCTAGAGAAGAAACCATCATCCATTGATGACATTATTGAGAACTGCATCGGCTCTACAGGCTTCTGTTCTGTCAACTGTTTCAGGCGATTCTTGTTGCGATGGCGTGGTTTTTCGACGCACAGCAAACCTTCATCAGCGCATTCACTGATGCAGATCCCTCGTGGCACTGCATCAACAAGACCGATTGGTCGTGCACGTCAGCTGTTAGCCCGTGCAGCTTGCCTGAAGGCTCGTGGTCGTGGGACCAGCCTAAGCACGCATCTGTCATCTCCGAATGGAGCCTCCAGTGCTCTCCGCCTGCGCTTGTGGGTCTGCCTGCATCCTCATTCTTTATGGGATGTCTCGTCGGCGGTCTTTCCCTTGCAACGCTGGCTGATTCTCGACTAGGTCGAAAGAAAATGCTTGTTTTTACTTGTTTTACTGTGAGTATAACTGCTGGTTTGGCTGCGGTATCGCCTAATGTATGGGTCTATTCGGCGCTCCGGTTCATCTGTGGGATAGGACGTGCGACTGTCGGTACGAGCGCTCTCGTGTTGTCCACGGAATTGGTCGGTAAAAGATGGCGTGATCGGGTTAGTGTAATCGGATTCGTTCTTTTCACTTCTGGATTCTTGTCTCTCCCTGCTATCGCTTATTTCAACAGAGGATCTTCGTGGAGAAACATATATCTCTGGACTTCCATCCCTTCTTTCTGCTACATCATTCTTATATGCTTCCTGGTAAATGAATCTCCGAGATGGCTCTTCGTTCGTGGACGAAAAAATGAAGCTATCGACACCCTAAAAAGTATCGCAAAATCTAACGGATATTTTATCAATACTAGCTTCTCAAATCTACATATCGCTGAAGAAAAATGGAATGTAGATCTGTACTCAGCATTGAGGATACTATACCAAAAGAAATGGGCATTCAAGCGGCTAACCACGGTCATGATAGTAGGCTTCGGAGTCGGGATGGTATACTACGGTATGCCTCTGAACCTAGCCAATCTAGGCTCCAATCTCTACTTGAGCGTCACAATAAACGCATTAGTCGAACTTCCTTCAACGTTGATCGCCTTATTCCTCATTGATCGAATCAGTCGAATCCATTCAATATTAATCTTAACCGCGATAAGCGGCATAACCAGTATCGCGTGTGTGCTGTTGGCCGCCGGCGGATGGAAAATGGCAATGGAGGTAGTCTCATACTTCAGCGCGTGCACGGCGTTTACCCTGCTGCTTATCTATAGCATCGAGCTGTTCCCGACTAGTGTGAGGAACTCTGCGATCTCAATGGTGAGGCAGGCGCTCGTGTTTGGTGGAGTTTTTGCGCCGTTGCTGGTGGCGGAAGGGAGGAAACGGAGGTTCTTATCATTCGGAGTGTTTGGATTGGTGATCGCATGTTGCGGGATGTTTGTCTCTAGTTTGCCGGAGACAAGGGGGAGGGGGTTAACGGATACGATGGAGGAAGAAGAGTGCAAGGAGATTGCTTCGTCGAGTTATATGAATCCGTAAGTTGTCAGACTATTGAGTCTCTTCAGCGATCGTCTTATTAATCAAACAAACCTGAAATTGGATGATAAATGTAGTATTGATCACATTAGAAATGAATTATAAGCGATTGTATTGGTTATGAAGCGCTATGTCACGTTACAGGGATTGCAGTACCATACAGATATGCGTAGTCGTGCGCGAAAAAGGATCCCAGGATATATATATATATATATATAGCTTTCTTCCTGTTTCCTTGCTCTCTGTTTAAAGATGCTTGAATCCGTCACTTCCGTAATGAAATTGGCTCACGAGTGCCTTTTTCCGATTTGAATCTATAATATACGTTAGGAAAAGTCCCCATTTTAGTTTATGGGACACATTTTTTTTCTAAATTCCAGAAATACCCTTTACACTTGGAGGAAACTACGGAAATACCCTCACCTTTGAAAATTATTAAGCGAAAATGCCCTCTCAAATGAGGAAGGAAAAAAAAGAAAATACACTTACATTTGGGAAAACTTATGGAAATATTCTCACATTCGGAAAAATCAATCGAAATATAAAATGAGAACCTAACAAGTCACCCTTTCTTTCTTTTTTTTGGTTGGGGCGAGATCACGCAAGTATTGCGTGCACCGGGATACTAGTGATAATTAAAATAATGATGGGATAATTGAGAGGGAACATGTCTCTCAAATATCTAATCCGTGAGCTGTAGAAGGTTAAATACGGATGCTGGAGACATTTCGACGGAGTCGGTGTCCTTTTGCCCTCTTTTACCGGCAAACAATGGGCTATGGCATTAAATTTATAATTCTAGTTCCCACTTATCATAAATGTGGAGGAATAATTATATCATTACTATATTACAAGATTACATTTTGATAACCAATAAAACTATTCAGCATGAATATTTATGCGCCCAGTTCCCTCATCTTTGTAACCTTCAAGAAGAACCAGTAACTCTAACTCTAGATAAAAAAAAATTCTACTTAAAGGTGGGTAAAACATCCAGACAAAAAGATCTCATCTTGGATAACTTTTGAGTAGAATCGTAGCCACACCATTCTATTTTCTTTTCTTTCTTTCTTTTTTCTTTTTTCCTTTTTTCCCCTCTTTCACAAGCGGACGGATAACATGTTGGAATTGGGGTGAAATCCAAAGCTCGTGCAGGCAAGGAGCTCCGGCGAGCTTGAGATCCAGGCAAGCGAGTGTGGGCGGCGACTCAGGCGAGGTCGATGACAAGACCAGGCGAGCTTGTTGCGATCGAGCTCCAGGCGAGCGTCAGCTTCAGGCGAGCTCGAGGTCGTCGAGGTCCAGAAGCGTGACGGGCGAGATCTGTCGACGAGTTGTAATAGCTCGAGCACTGCTGGCGAGTTTCCCAGGCTGTCGACAGCTCAGCTAGGGTTTCCTTATAAAAGGGAACCCCTAGGGCTCGGATCCGTTGCTCTCTTCCCTCTCGCGTTCAGTTCCTGACGGTAGTAATTTTTTTCCCTTTTCTTCGTTTCTTTTCTCCAGCGCTCAAGATTTTGAGGGGAGATTTAAGAAGTAAAGAGAGAATTAAAAAAGGGATTTAAAGAGGGAATTGTCACTGTAGCTACAGTGACAATTAGCTGATACGGGTGCATCTTCTCTTTAAAACTTAGCGATCCTCATGGAATCTTGAGGATAGATGATTCTCATGATAGCATGAGAATAGGGGTGTAAAACAGTACAGTGGAACGCAGGTGAAAGCGTGGAACGAGACGACGAGCAGCAGATTCGAAGAATCCAGTTTTCAGCTCGTGAGTCGACTCATACATGTACATGAGTCGACTCATCAGGTTGAGTCGACTCATGCCTGTCATGAGTCGACTCACGAAATCAAGCTCTGTTAGCAAAAGTCTCTGACCAGTCGACTCATCGGTTATGAGTCGACTCATATGAGGTCATGAGTCGACTCATAACTGTTCATGAGTCGACTCATCGGAGCTTTCCTGGTTCATTTGGGTTTCTGTTCACACGAATTCCTGTTAGTTTTAGGCTTGGTTATTTACCAGATTACCATCCACGTTTGTACACCTATATAAATAATTGTTTTAGGGTTTCTAAGCAATCGGAGGTAATTAAGAGAGATACTAATTATTGTATTAGAGTTTAGAGAGGATTGAGAGGTTGTTCTCGATTCTAGTGAGATTGTGAGGGAGAGATTTGTAATAATTGATTCTTCATAATCTAGAAAATGTATTTTTCTTCACCATACTAAATTATTCTTGTGTTTTAGTTGTCTTCTTCTCAACCCACCTTTTGGTAATTCCGCGACCAAAGGGTGCTCGCACGGCGACTCGTATCAAGTTGGTATCAGAGCAATCAGATCCTGTGAAGGGGGCATTCTGTGTATGGTCCTTACTCGATCACAGTACAAGAAGTTTGGCGAGATCCTTATTTCCTTGGAAGAAGTCTAGAAGATAAGGAAGGAGAAGATGGCTGAAGGAGACAATTCAGCGAGGATTGATGCATTAGAAAAGCAGATCGAGACGATAGGTTCGACTCTCACATAACTCGTCAGTCTTATCCATAGAGGTGGCAAACAAGGTGAATCTTCTTCGAAGAAAATTATTGAGTCCGATGTGGAGAGAGTAGATTCAGATTCCAACGAGGAGGAGGAGACCGTTAAGGCTGTATTGTATCAAGAGGGTGAGAATTCTTATTAGAACCTGAAGATCGACTTCGGATATTCCTGTTTATGATGGGAGTGTTGACGTCGAGAGGTTTGATGACGGGATCGAGCGGATGGAGACGTATTTTACTCTTTATGGCTATTCGTCAAAAGAGAAGATTGTGTTCGCAACTTTGAAGTTTTCAGGGCATGTGTTGACGTGGTGGAAATCTTACTGCAAGTAGGAGAAGAAGGCGGTATCGTGAAACAAGTTCAATGAGTTACTCAGGAAGCAGTTGTTGGCCTTCTTGTTTTGATGATGATTTATATTTATTCTAGATAAACAATATGTTGGAGGATGGATGGAATCGAGCATTCACGATCATATCAAATGGAGGTTGGCGGAATTGTGGAGTAAAGTAACGTCATTTCAAGTTAAAGATCTAATTACAAGCTTCTTCCGCAAAGTTTACCAAGTCATGCTCATTGAAGACCTTCATCAAGCTTGGGTATATTTAGTTTAGGTTTTATATTATGTGTGTTAATACTTTAAGCTCAATCATATATACACACACATATTTTGTTCTTATATATATAGTTATATATATATACACAAGTTTTGGTTCTTGGCTTTTAAGTTTAAATATGAAACAAATACATATTCATATATATATACATGTTTGGTTTCATATGGTAAAGTTGTTTATGTACACATGTATTTATAAGTTTTACAAAATACATGAGTTTTCACAAATAAAAATTTCAATTTGAGAAATTCTTTTTCTAACATGTTTGTTTTTATGTTTACAAACATTTCGCAAAGTTTCATCAAGTTTGGAATTGATTTGTTATGTTCAATGGAATTTACAAAATCATGCTTTCATTCGTGCATGTTCATGCATGTTTTTACAAAACCGATGAGTTTTCATAAATGGAAAGTGATATTCAAGAAATTCTTTCTTTGACATGTTTATTTTCATAAATGGAAAGTGATATTCAAGAAATTCTTTCTTTGACATGTTTATCTATATGTTTAGAAACTTCTCTCAAAATTTTATCTCTCAAAATTTTACTATTTTTGGAGTTGATTTACTGTGCCTAATTGATTTTACAAAATCATGTATCAAAGCAGATTTTTAGAAACTGTATTTCTGTATTCAAACATTTATTTCTCTCAACTGGAAAATTATTTTTCATAAATTCTTTCTCTAACATGTTTTTATACATGTCTATAATCTTCCCTCAAAATTTCATAATTTTTAGAGATGTTTTACTATTTTTAACCGATTTTATAAAAACGGATATACCTGCTACAGTACCGCCGGTCGACCGACGGACTCTGTGCGTTTTCTCCGTTTGGAACCTGGATCGTGGTCGACCGTGAGAATTTCTGATCGACCGCCGCTCTGTTAGAATTTTCCAACGGCTATTTTTGTTACCGTTGGCTGGGCTTTTTTTGTCATTTGTTTTGGGTTTTGGCTGAGGTCTTTGGGAGGCTATAAAAACTCCTTTGATCTCAGATTTCAATAATTTAAGAGAATGTTTTAAAATAGTTTAATAAGGGTTTAAACTTGTTTAGTGTTTGTTTAAGTTTGGTTTAAGAAGCTTTTAAGCAATTGATGGTTTGAGTTTGTGAATTCAATTTCACAAGAGCAAGTGGGGATCATCCTTTGGTGTTTGAGCATTCACTCTTCTCCTACTCTCTTGTCATCTTTAGAGAAGTGTTTCTAAACTCATCTAGCAATTTATTATTTTGATTATAATTTCTATAGGCTAGATTTATATTGAGTTTAGTTTAATCGTTTTATTGATACTCTTTGCTCACACACAACCTATTGAGCTTAGTGTATTTACATTCATAGTATAATTTGGGGTTGTGGGTTTATGACTAAGAGTTGTGCTTAATTGAGTTCTCACCTTGTTTAGAGAACAATCAAATTGATTTATATTGTGCTTAATTGTGAGGATTCACTTGTAATACACTTGTACACCGAGAGAAGTGTGTGGTGAGAAACGGGGTCGAATCCAAGAGGAGTGGCGTCGATTGACGTGCCTAGGGAGAGGTTATAACCGAGTACTTAAGGAGGAGGACACGGGCTAGGACCAACACTTAGTGTGTAAAGTGTGATTGCATAGTGATTATATTATGAGGTGTAAACGTTGTTCGGGTGAACGTAGAAAACCCGGTTGTGATAGTAGAGATCTCCTCGAGGTGAGGAGCGGAGACGTAGGTCGTGGGGACCGAACTCCGTGATCATATCGTTTTGTTTGTGATTGCATTGGCGTTCTTATTCTTGTTTTCATATCTTATATCGCCTTTGTGTATTGCTCATCATATTACCCTATCACTTGTGTAGATTGTTTATTTTACCCTTGTGTTAGTTCATATATCCTTGCTCATATATTTGTAATATCTCATTGATAGGATATATTCATTTGTTCATATTGCCTTATCCTAGCTAATGTATCTTATTGCATTTTATTCTTGCTAGGATATTTTGTTATTAGTTTTAATTGGTATTTAATCGGATTAGATTAGCATAAGACCCTAATCACCCCCCCTCTAGGGTCTAACAATTGGTATCAGAGCTTGGTGCTCTTTG